TTAAAACACTGCATCTTCGTTAGTAACAGAGATAATAGAGTGAATAAAAAAACAAAATGTTCAGAAAAGATTGGGTTACCGTTTGATTCCAGTTAACACCCTCTGCTGTAGCATCTGCACCCCACAGGGTATTACAAATTTCGAGAAAAAATGCTTTTCTCATTCTTGCACCCCGTATATGCTCAAATTAATATCCGAATAAAAATTTCTATCACAGGATTATTACAGAAGGATCAACCTTTCGATCAAAAAAGGAATCATCAAAAACGAATGAGTGGTTCGCGAGAAATCCAGCTTTGAAATTGTGGCAAAATTTTAGTGGCCGATTTTGTTTGCCGGTCAGTTTATATTATAAAAACAATACGATGATTAATAAGATGGATTTTAAGAGAAGACTTCAGGAAATTAGAGTATATGTCACTTATTGATAATATAATCAAACCATATTTCAGTTATAATTATACTATAAATAATTATCATTAAATAATACCAAAATCATATTGTTGCAATCGATTTTCACAACGAACCAACTGGTTTGCAGGATTCTTNCAAGGTATTACTCAATTGAATAATACTCTTTTTCCAATAATATTCGTTTAACTTTCTGTTTGAACCTTTTGTTATTCAACTCTTTTATTTTTGATGGCAATGCATTGTACAATTTGACCGATATATAGTTGAAAGTATTCTGGGATTTTTTGATTCTGTGATATGGTATTAACAGACTACTTCCATGACGCGTGTTGTAGATATGTAGATCTTCGTTCTTTGGCAATGTGCCTTTCTTCGTATGAACATTAACCAAGCAGGTAAGTATGAAACAACCTGGGATAGTTAGTATTTTTAAGGTTTTAAAAAATGTTCAGCAGCTTCCAATATAGTCAAGCCCAGACAAGATCCGTATCACTTTCTTTTGCATTTTAAATATGTCGTACATATCATTTGACCCCCCCAGATAGATATGCCATGCGTAGCCATGCTGTGAAAGTAAGCGAAGTAGACGCTTTTTGTTTCATTTGTAGGTAAATTTTTAGATATAACCTTTATGAAGTATATTGAATTTGATAAGTTTCTTTTTAAGTTTGTTACATGGTCCGACCACGTTAAAGTTTCGGACAGCATAATGTATAGAAAATTTATCTTTTGAATTTCAGTGTCTTTGTCTCTTTTTGTAGAAAAAGTTAGTATTTTGGTTTTATCTGCATTTAGTTTCATTTTGTTCATGTCAAACCATTTTTTTGCATCGGCTAATGATGTTAGCGTTTTATTTTTAAGTTGCTGAAAATCATTTCCTTGGTTGATAACAGACACGTCTGTTATCTGAACAGACGTCTTAACAGACGTAACAGACGTGTCATCTGCATAGAGACAAATGGAAAGCGCCTTCACATTTTCTGGTAGATCATTTATATATATCAGAAAAAGTATAGGCCCAAGCACAGAACCCTGAGGTACTCCTGTCCCCACAGATTTCCAATCCGAGTGTATACCTTTCCAATACACTTGTTGTTCTCTCTGATCCAGGTAGGAGGCTAATAAATTATATGCAGTAGCTTTAAAGCCATATTTATGTAATTTTTCTCTTAAAATTCTGTGGTGTACCATATCAAAAGCCTTGCTGAGATCACAAAAGGCTATTTGCGTGTATTTCTGTTGGTCAAAACCATCTGCTATTCTTTGGATAACATTTAGTAACGATGTTATGGTTGATCTGCCTTGTATGTACCGATGCTGATATTTGGTTATGAGATCTTCTTCTGAATATTCCATTATCCTTCTCTTTATGACCGTTTCAAATACTTTCGACATCGCCGGTAATGTTGATATAGGTCTATATTTGCCACAATTGTTTGGGTTTCTTAATTGGTATTACTTTCGCTCGTTTGAGTTCCAGTAGGAAAATACCTTCTGTCAAACATTAATGAATTTGAAAAAGAACTATTTTCAGATAAAAACCATTTTTTCAATAAAGATATTGCTTTCTATGCCAGATACGTTGATGATATTCTTGTTGCCTATAAAGAAAGTCATGCTAAACTGGGTGGTCTTTTCAACGAGATAAACAACATTTGTAATTTAGAATTTACCCTCGAAAAAGAATTAGAAATTAATTTTATAATTATTATAAAATTAAATTCCTAGATCTGGAAGTTTCTAGAAACATAGAGAAAAATATTATCAACTTCAATGTT